CAACACTAATTAGGGAATAAATCATGGCATACCTAACCAAAGATAAGCAAAACAGTTGTTTAGCAATTAAACTTAACTTCTTTGCAAGTTCAAAGTTCATGTGTTTAAAATAGGCTAGGGCAGGTAGATAAAATATAAGCAAGTAGACAGAGCCACAGTGCCCAGCTTTATGTCATTCTGAGTATGTTGAATTCCTTTTGAGGATCTGGGTTCTAGAGGTGTGTGGAAAATAGGAATCGTGGGCATGTTTTTAATAGGATGAACACTTGCCTTAATTTTTTTTTTATTTTCTCTGAGTATACCAGACTCTCTGTATATATTCTTTTTCCTTTGGTCTTTTATATTTGGAGTTTTGAATGAAGGAACAGCCTAGTTTGTGTTGATATCAGGAGCTCTCCAGGAATTAGATTAGTCACCTTGTTGAAAGCTACATGTTGTATAAAACAGGAAGGGAAAAAAGCCTCCTGGGGAATAATAACTTTATAATCTTTTAGGAGTACTCTGAGGAATAAGTCCAAATATTTGGATATGATTGTAAAAGTTGACTAAGTGCAAGATAATAGTTATTCTGTAACTCAAAACATAAGATAAATTAGGATTTCTTGCACCTCATATAAGCGTTGAAATAAAACTAGCGATCACTGGTGATCAACGCATTGCTGAGTACTAGCTGTGTTGCCGTGAGCAATTTACCTATCCTATCTGTGCCTCAGTTTTCTCATCTGTAAATGGGATAAAGACAGCATTTTCCTTTAGGGTATTCCTTTGAGAACAGTGACTGGCTAGTGATTAATTCCTGATAGCTATTGTTATCATTACTTCTATTCCTATTACTATTATCTTGTTACTGGCTCGGCGCCTATAGCTTAGCAGCTACGGCACCAGCCACATACTCCAGAGCTGGCAGGTTCAAACCCAGCCTGGACCTGCCAAACAACAATAGGAACTACAACCAAATAATTGCCAGGTGTTGTGGAGGGCGCCTGTGGTCCCAGCTACTTGGGAGGCTAAGGCAAGAGAGTCGCTTAAGCCCAAGAGTTGGAGGTTACTGTGAACTGTAAGGCCATGGCACTCTACCAAGTGTGACAAAGTGAGACTCTCAAAAAAAAATTATCCTGTTAGTCTCTGAGAACACAGCTGATTTTTATTTCAATTCAACTCTCTCACTTATCAGCTTTTGGTTGTAGCCAGTGCCTTGTCATACTGTTCAGTCTGAAAGGCCTCTTTTGGATTCAGGTATTTGACCAATCTCCATGGCAAATTCTCATTGTGCTAGAGTGTAGGGATACTGGGAAGACAAAGAGGAAAATCCAGTCACTGATCTCAAGTCTTTTGCAATGTAATAAGGGAGATGTACATGGAAGAAAACACTTTCAATACAGTATATTGAGAGTTCTAATTGGCGAGTATAAACCATGTGTTTGTTGTAGTACCCATGAATACTTGGGTAGAGCTTCTCTTTTGAAGAGAAGGTTGGAGTTTCCTTCTAATACAAAAAGAAAATGTAAAATTAAAGGCATATAGATAGTAGAAGATAGAGTTTTCTGAGAAATGCTGACATGTTAAACTTAAGATCCATGAATAATTGGATGATAAAATAGGACTGATATTCTGAATTTAGATTCTACAAGCCATGTGCTATGGTTTGAATGTGTGCCCCAAAAGTTCATGTGTTAGAAGATTAATCCCCAATGCAACCATCTTAGAGGAGGGACCTTTCAGAGGTGATTAGTCTTGAGAGGAGGGACCTGTAGGAAGTGATTAGGGCTCCACCTTCAGGAAGGGATTAATGCTGTTATCTCAGGATTGGGTTCTTGAGTGTAGCCCAGTTTTCTCTCTGTGTCTCTCTTGATAGGTCAACATATGTCGATACTTTCTATTATGGGATGGCTCTGACCAGATGCTAGTGCCTTGCTCTTGGACTTCCCAGTCGCCAGAACCATGAGTCAAATAAACTTCTATTCTTTATAAATTATCCGGTTTCTCCTATTCTGCTATAGCAGCAGAAAACAAATTAGATATCATACAAAGGAATTTATTTCATGTTTTAACCAATAGGCAGTAAGGAGCATTTTATAAAACATGAACTAGGAAATAAAAATTTCTGATTAGATTTTTAAAAGATCACTCTGGCTACATAAAGAAAGTTGATTGAGGGTAAGAAGTTTACTTTAAAAATAGAAATACAATCTAGGAGAAAGTTGTAGACATCTAGAGAAAAGATGGGTACCTAAAATAAGGAGGTGGCAGTGGGGATACAGGGAAGAAGAATAGGTCCAAGAGATGTTTGATAGGAACCATAAAAATAACTGAGAAATGGACTAGCTGTGAAAGACAAAGGAAGGAACAAGATACAATTTGATTCTTAAGTTTTAAATTTGAGCATTAGAGGGGTGGCAATGGACACTGTGGATACAGAGCAATGACTAGGGACTCTAAATGCCTCATCTTGGTTTTCTAATCTATGATCTGTATCAGGCAACACAGGAACTTAACCCTTACCCACACCTCCTGTTACAGTACATATAGTACACACTTTCACCCTAATATATAAATTAACTATTTTAAATTAAAACTACATATATTATTTTATTTTATTTTATTTTTTGAGACAGAGTCTCACTTTGTTGCTCTTCGTAGAGTGCTGTGGCATCATAGTTCACAGCAACTTCAAATTTTGGGGCTTAAGTGATTCTCCTGCCTCAGCCTGAGTAGCTGGGACTACAGGTGTCTGTCACAACACATGGCTATTTTTAGAGACAGGGTCTCCCTCTTGCTCAGGCTGGTCTTGAACCCATGAGCTCAGGCAATCCACCCACCTCAGCCTCCCAACTGCTAGGATTACAGGTGTGAGCTACCACGCCTGGCCAAGACAATATATTTATATAGTTTACATGAATCAAAGGCCAGTAAGTACAGCAGTTCTGGACACTACCTTCTTATTCCCTAATCGTCTCCCAAGGTGCAATCACTTTCAGTGGTTTTCCTAAACATTCTGATTACACTTATTTCTAGATCTCTCAATTTTGTACATTACTGACTTCACTCTTCTAAGCCATTTCCACTATCCTTTGCTTCTTTTCCAGTTCATTTCCTCCATCTTTTCAGTGCATCTCTATCATAATTTTTAGTCCAATTTAAAGTACATTATTAAGTTTTTATGATTTTTTTTCCTTGCAAATCTTATCTTTCCTTTTTACCCCATCTTTTCTTTGCTTATTTTTCAATTTTCCTATAACTCTACTTCATTTGCTAAGTTTCCTGTTTTCCCTCTCACTGCTTTTTTCTAGTGCCCAGATTGGTTGCACTCCGTTTATAATTTTTCTAAATTCTTAAACATAGTTTCAGACTCTGTAATAATTGCAGCCTCCTTATACATTCTGCCTCCCCACTCCTGCCCTCAACTTTTTTCCCTTGTTGTCCAGAATTTTTATTGTGATTTGAAGGAAATTCAAGCTCTCCTTCTGGCATTCTTGTCAATTCTCCTGCTCCTCGATCTCATACTCTTCTTTTTCTTGGTTTTACTCTCCTGTGCAGTGGTGTATCCCTTCATCACATTCTAGGAAAGAGATACAGAAGGTAAATGTTCCGCAACTTTGTATTTCTGAAAATATCTTTATTTTTTTCTAACACTGACTTACTAGTATAGTTGGTTATAGAATTCTAGGTTGAAAGTCATATTTTTCTTCTGAATCTTGAAGACATTGTTCTCCTTTCCTTTGACATCTGGTGTTGCTGTTGAGAAGCTTGATGACATTCTGATTATTGGATTTTAAAAATATTTTGTTGTTGTTTTGGTTTTTGTATATGGCCTCTTGCTCTCCAGAAACTCCGAGGATCTTCTTTTTAACTTTAGTATTATAAAATTTTATGATTCTGGGCTTTGGTATGGGTCTTTCTTAATTTACTATCATGTGCTGTGTCTTTTTAGTGGGCCCTCTCAACCTAGAATTTCATTCAGTCTTGAGACACTATTTTCAATGATTTTTATTTTTGTTTTTTTCCATCTTAGTCTCTATTCACTCTTTTGGAATTGCCTCAGGGAAAACCCAGGATTTTGGACTTTATGAATTAATTTTTCAATATAATTATTTTTATCTCTCTTTTTTGTTATTATTTCTAACATTTAATAATTAGAGACCACTTTTTCCACTATAAGTTAGCAAACAAATTAGGTATGTTGACAATACCCTTTGTTGGTGAGGGTAAGGGGAAATGAGCTTTATCCTAAAGGTGTGGAAAGGTGGGTCCATTGGGATAGCATTTTTAGAAGACAATTTGGTAATAGTTGTGATAATAATGAGCAATATTAAGTATGTCCCCTTGAGAAATACTCCTTAAACAAATTGATGACCATGGATATATAGTGTAGCATTATTAGTATAAGTGAAGCAGAAAGAAGATGAAAATGTCTCTCAGATGAATTATTAAATAAACTATGATCTGTTCAGACTATAGGGTACAATATATTTGGCAAAAATATAAAACAGTATAAGGATGTACAATTAAGTTTGTGAACTTATCCTGGAAAAAGAGCTACATACCTCATTGCTGAATATCACTACAACGTACTCCCTTTGGTCATCTGGTGACTATCATGATATAGTAGCTCTTTTTTTCTAGGATGAGTTCAAGAACTTAACTGTAGACTTTGTATTTATGAATCAATGGAAAATCTCTAAGATATATTGTTAAAAAATTTATAGTTACAGAGCATGCACCATATCCCAATATATGTTTATATAAATGGGATTATTATATACATGTGTTGAATTTCATACCTTATCTTTAAATGTAAACCAGAGACAACATTTTGGAATGTTACATATCACCATTCAATATTAAATTATTTATGAGGAAGAGAGAATAATGGGGAGAGGGTGAAGAAATCTTTTGCATTTTATTATGCGGATTTCTGTATTAGTAAGTTTTTATGGCTTAGGTATGATTTCTTTGTATTTATATATGAGATTTCTTTTTTTTTTTTTTTTTTCCCCAATTTCCAAAGGCTTTACTGGTAAATATGCTTTAGAAAAGAATAAACACCCTATTGCTTCCAAGTCAGTGGAATGAAGATCTGTGTCCAGGGACAAACCACGCAGTGTTGAAGGACAACCTCTTACTCATAGACCCAGTCATAAGCACAGGACTTGTAGTCGACCAATTCTTCAGGCTTAAACCACAGGCTGATTTCTTTTTCAGCACTTTTTACTGAGTCGCTGCCATGAATGATGTTCCTGCCAACTTGAATGCAGAAGTCCCCACGAATGGTGCCTGGCTTAGAATCCGCTGGATTGGTCTCCCCAAGCATCACTCGGCCTGTCTTCACCACATTCAGCCCCTCCCAGACCATGGCCACAACAGGGCCTGAGTTCATGTACTTCACCAGTCCAGGGAAGAATGGGCGGTCTTTCAGGTCAGCATAGTGCTGCTTCAGGTGTTCCTCAGAGGCCCGAAGGAACTTCATGGCCACGAGATGGAATCCCTTCTGTTCGAAGCGCTTGATGATCTCGCCCACCAGGCCACGTTGCACGCCGTCCGGCTTGATGGCAATGAAGGTGCGCTCGAGGTTGGCCATGGTGCTGGAGGGTGGCGAGGCCGGGCGGCGTTGGCTCTGAGCTGTGCGGCGGAAGCCTATATATGAGATTTCTAAATAAAGAAGAAAATAAATTTCACTCCCTATGAAATGGAGCAACCAAGAGGCACCCACAGAGCCTTTGTTGTTGTCGTTGTTGTGGTGAGAACGCTTACCATGAGATCTCCTTTGTAACAGATTTTAAGTATACAGTACAGTATTGTTATGCGCAGGCACAATGTACATCAGATTTCTAAAATGCATTCATCTTCTGTAACTGAAATTTTGTGCACTTTGATTAGCAGCTCCTGTTTCCCACTCTACCCAGATCCTGGCAACCACCATTCTATTCTTTGCTTCTACAGTTTGACTCTTTTAGATACCTCACGTAAGTGGAATCATGCAGTATTTGTCCTGTGCCTGGCATATTTCAGTTAGCACAGTGTCCTTAAAGTTCATCTATGTTTCATTAATCCTTTAATAAACATTTAAGTTCCTCCCACATATTGTTTATTGAGAATAGTCCTGAAATAAACATGGGAGTAGTAATATCTTGTGAAGATCCTTATTTCAATGCTTTTTGGATAGATCCTCAGAAGTTGGATTGCTGGATCATATGGTAGTTCTACTTTTAAGTTTTTGAGGAGCTTCCATATTGTTTTCTGTAGTGGCTGTACCCTTTTGATTTCTCATCTATAATATACCAGAATTTTAATTGTTTATGTATTTGCCAATTCTTGTTGTCTTTTTATTTTTTCTTTCTTTCTTTTTTTTGGATGGAGGGTCTCATCTGGTCTTCTGGGCTAGAGCACAGTGGTGTTATAACTCACTTCAACCTCCAATGTCTGGGCCCAGGCAATCCTCCTGCATAAATCTCCAGAGTAGCTGGGACTATATGTGTGTCACAACATCCAGCTAATTTTTCTAATTTTTGCAGTGGGCCTTGCTCTTGCTCAGAACAGTCTTCAACTCCTAGCTTCAAATTATCCTCCCTCTTCAGCCTCTCAAAGTGCTAGGATAACAGGCATGAGCCGCAAGGCCTTGATAGCTCCTGTTCTTTGATAACAGCTATCCTAATAGATGTGAGGGAATATCTCATTGTGGGTTTAATTAGCATTTCTGTCATTACTCATTATATTGAGCATCTTTTCATATACTCGTAGGCCATCTGTATGTCTTCTTTTGAACGTTTAATTGAGTCTTTAGCCCATTTTAATTGGGTTGTTATTATTATTATTAGTATTTTATATATAGAAGTTTTGTATATAATTTGGAAATTACCCCATATCAGGTATATGGTTCCAAATATTTTCTCTCCTTCTGAGCTCCCCCCCAACTGTTGATTGTTTATTTTCCTGTGTAGAAGCTTTTTAGCTAGATGTAGTCCCACTTGTCTGTTTTTGCTTTTGTC